GTGCTGGGAAAAATGGACCAACTATGCAACATCTCAAAGACCTGATTTTATTAAAGACTACTCCCTATATGTACATAGTGCTTTTCTTGAAAAAAAAAAAAGTTTACATTTCTGATGAGTAGATGTACGGCAAACACGACTGTATGTATGGGCATATTTTTTTATGTTTGTATGTATGTGCGTATGTTTTTGATATGAAGATATTCGATATATATAGTATCTGATGTACATCTGATTGAAGTGTAATGTTTATCTGAGAAAAAGTAAAAACAAAAAAACAAAAAAGAAGTCTCTTATGTACAGATCGTCTTTGGCACCGTTTTATCAAGCCCAGCACTCTAAAAAATGCTGGGTTGTTTTACCGCAATTTTGGGTCAAATATGGAGAAACCCAGCCGTTGGGTTAAATTTTTAAATTCCATTTTTAACCCGTATCCGTAACCCGTTGTCCGTATATTTGACCCAAAATTGGGTTAAAACAACCCAGCATTTTTTTTAGATAGGATATACTTCAGTGTGTGACATACAAAAAAATCCCAACTGAACGTCCCAGGTGTCGTGTGTGTGAAGAAGGTTTACTCGGAGTCAGGTAGAGGCCAGTTCCCGGACGTCCCAGATGTCGTGTGTGTGAAGACAGTTTACTCGGAGTCAGGTAGAGGCCAGTTCCCGGACGTCCCAGGTGTCGTGTGTGTGAAGACGGTTTACTCGGAGTCAGGTAGAGGCCAGTTCCCGGACGTCCCAGATGTCGTGTGTGTGAAGACGGTTTACTCGGAGTCAGGTAGAGGCCAGTTCCTGGACGTCCCAGGTGTCGTGTGTGTGAAGACGGTTTACTCGGAGTCAGGTAGAGGCCAGTTCCCGGGCGTGCCAGGTGTCGTGTGTGTGAAGACGGTTTACTCGGAGTCAGGTAGAGGCCAGTTCCTGGACGTCCCAGGTGTCGTGTGTGTGAAGACGGTTTACTCGGAGTCAGGTAGAGGCCAGTTCCCGGACGTCCCAGATGTCGTGTGTGTGAAGGCGGTTTACTCGGAGTCAGGTAGAGGCCAGTTCCCGGGCGTGCCAGGTGTCGTGTGTGTGAAGACGGTTTACTCGGAGTCAGGTAGAGGCCAGTTCCTGGACGTCCCAGGTGTCGTGTGTGTGAAGACGGTTTACTCGGAGTCAGGTAGAGGCCAGTTCCCGGGCGTGCCAGGTGTCGTGTGTGTGAAGACGGTTTACTCGGAGTCAGGTAGAGGCCAGTTCCCGGACGTCCCAGATGTCGTGTGTGTGAAGACGGTTTACTCTGAGTCAGGTAGAGGCCAGTTCCGGGACGTCCCAGATGTTGTGTGTGTGAAGACGGTTTACTCGGAGTCAGGTGGAGGCCAGTTCCTGGACGTCCCAGGTGTCGTGTGTGTGAAGACGGTTTACTCGGAGTCAGGTAGAGGCCAGTTCCCGGACGTCCCAGATGTCGTGTCTGTGAAGACAGTTTACTCGGAGTCAGGTAGAGGCCAGTTCCGGGACGTCCCAGATGTTGTGTGTGTGAAGACGGTTTACTCGGAGTCAGGTAGAGGCCAGTTCCGGGACGTCCCAGATGTCGTGTGTGTGAAGACGGTTTACTCGGAGTCAGGTAGAGGCCAGTTCCGGGACGTCCCAGATGTTGTGTGTGTGAAGACGGTTTACTCGGAGTCAGGTAGAGGCCAGTTCCTGGACGTCCCAGATGTCGTGTGTGTGAAGGCGGTTTACTCGGAGTCAGGTGGAGGCCAGTTCCTGGACGTCCCAGGTGTCGTGTGTGTGAAGAGGGTTACTCGGAGTCAGGTAGAGGCCAGTTCCCGGGCGTGCCAGGTGTCATGTGTGTGAAGGCGGTTTACTCGGAATCAGGTAGAGGCCAGTTCCCGGACGTCCCAGGTGTCGTGTGTGTGAAGACGGTTTACTCGGAGTCAGGTAGAGGCCAGTTCCCGCACGTCCCAGATGTCGTGTGTGTGAAGACGGTTTACTCGGAGTCAGGTAGAGGCCAGTTCCCGGACGTCCCAGGTGTCGTGTGTGTGAAGACGGTTTACTCGGAGTCAGGTAGAGGCCAGTTCCCGGGCGTGCCAGGTGTCGTGTGTGTGAAGAGGGTTACTCGGAGTCAGGTAGAGGCCAGTTCCCGGGCGTGCCAGGTGTCATGTGTGTGAAGGCGGTTTACTCGGAATCAGGTAGAGGCCAGTTCCCGGACGTCCCAGGTGTCGTGTGTGTGAAGACGGTTTACTCGGAGTCAGGTAGAGGCCAGTTCCCGCACGTCCCAGATGTCGTGTGTGTGAAGACGGTTTAGTCGGAGTCAGGTAGAGGCCAGTTCCTGGACGTCCCAGGTGTCGTGTGTGTGAAGACGGTTTACTCGGAGTCAGGTAGAGGCCAGTTCCCGGACGTCCCAGATGTCGTGTGTGTGAAGGCGGTTTACTCGGAGTCAGGTAGAGGCCAGTTCCCGGGCGTGCCAGGTGTCGTGTGTGTGAAGACGGTTTACTCGGAGTCAGGTAGAGGCCAGTTCCTGGACGTCCCAGGTGTCGTGTGTGTGAAGACGGTTTACTCGGAGTCAGGTAGAGGCCAGTTCCCGGGCGTGCCAGGTGTCGTGTGTGTGAAGACGGTTTACTCGGAGTCAGGTAGAGGCCAGTTCCCGGACGTCCCAGATGTCGTGTGTGTGAAGACGGTTTACTCGGAGTCAGGTAGAGGCCAGTTCCGGGACGTCCCAGATGTTGTGTGTGTGAAGACGGTTTACTCGGAGTCAGGTGGAGGCCAGTTCCTGGACGTCCCAGGTGTCGTGTGTGTGAAGACGGTTTACTCGGAGTCAGGTAGAGGCCAGTTCCCGGACGTCCCAGATGTCGTGTGTGTGAAGACAGTTTACTCGGAGTCAGGTAGAGGCCAGTTCCGGGACGTCCCAGATGTTGTGTGTGTGAAGACGGTTTACTCGGAGTCAGGTAGAGGCCAGTTCCGGGACGTCCCAGATGTCGTGTGTGTGAAGACGGTTTACTCGGAGTCAGGTAGAGGCCAGTTCCGGGACGTCCCAGATGTTGTGTGTGTGAAGACGGTTTACTCGGAGTCAGGTAGAGGCCAGTTCCTGGACGTCCCAGATGTCGTGTGTGTGAAGGCGGTTTACTCGGAGTCAGGTGGAGGCCAGTTCCCGGACGTCCCAGGTGTCGTGTGTGTGAAGAGGGTTACTCGGAGTCAGGTAGAGGCCAGTTCCCGGGCGTGCCAGGTGTCATGTGTGTGAAGGCGGTTTACTCGGAATCAGGTAGAGGCCAGTTCCCGGACGTCCCAGGTGTCGTGTGTGTGAAGACGGTTTACTCGGAGTCAGGTAGAGGCCAGTTCCCGCACGTCCCAGATGTCGTGTGTGTGAAGACGGTTTACTCGGAGTCAGGTAGAGGCCAGTTCCTGGACGTCCCAGGTGTCGTGTGTGTGAAGACGGTTTACTCGGAGTCAGGTAGAGGCCAGTTCCCGGGCGTGCCAGGTGTCGTGTGTGTGAAGACGGTTTACTCGGAGTCAGGTAGAGGCCAGTTCCCGGACGTCCCAGATGTCGTGTGTGTGAAGGCGGTTTACTCTGAGTCAGGTAGAGGCCAGTTCCTGGACGTCCCAGGTGTCGTGTGTGTGAAGATGGTTTACTCGGAGTCAGGTAGAGGCCAGATCCCGGACGTCCCAGATGTCGTGTGTGTGAAGGAGGTTTACTCGGAGTCAGGTAGAGGCCAGTTCCCGGACGTCCCAGGTGTCGTGTGTGTGAAGGCGGTTTACTCGGAGTCAGGTAGAGGCCAGTTCCTGGACGTCCCAGGTGTCGTGTGTGTGAAGACGGTTTTTTTGGAGTCAGGTAGAGGCCAGTTCCTGGATGTCCCAGGTGTCGTGTGTGTGAAGGCGGTTTACTCGGAGTCAGGTAGAGGCCAGTTCCCGGACGTCCCAGATGTTGTGTGTGTGAAGGCGGTTTACTCGGAGTCAGGTAGAGGCCAGTTCCCGTACGTCCCAGATGTCGTGTGTGTGAAGGCGGTTTACTCAGAGTCAGGTAGAGGCCAGTTCCAGGACGTCCCAGGTGTCGTGTGTGTGAAGGCGGTTTACTCAGAGTCAGGTAGAGGCCTGTTCCCGGACGTCCCAGATGTCGTGTGTGTGTGAAGGCGGTTTACTCAGAGTCAGGTAGAGGCCAGTTCCCGGACGTCCCAGGTGTCGTGTGTGTGAAGGTGGTTTACTCAGAGTCAGGTAGAGGCCAGTTCCCGGACGTCCCAGGTGTCGTGTGTGTGAAGACGGTTTACTCGGAGTCAGGTAGAGGCCAGTTCCTGGACATCCCAGGTGTCGTGTGTGTGAAGACGGTTTACTCGGAGTCAGGTAGAGGCCAGTTCCCGGACGTCCCAGGTGTCGTGTGTGTGAAGGCGGTTTACTCGGAGTCAGGTAGAGGCCAGTTTCTGGACGTCCCAGGTGTCGTGTGTGTGAAGACGGTTTACTCGGAGTCAGGTAGAGGCCAGTTCCCGGACGTCCCAGGTGTCGTGTGTGTGAAGGCGGTTTACTCGGAGTCAGGTAGAGGCCAGTTCCCGGACGTCCCAGGTGTCGTGTGTGTGAAGGCGGTTTACTCGGAGTCAGGTAGGGGCCAGTTCCCGGACGTCCCAGATGTCGTGTGTGTGAAGGCGGTTTACTCGGAGTCAGGTAGAGGCCAGTTCCTGGACGTCCCAGGTGTCGTGTGTGTGAAGATTGTTTACTCGGAGTCAGGTAGAGGCCAGTTCCCGGACGTCCCAGGTGTCGTGTGTGTGAAGGAGGTTTACTCGGAGTCAGGTAGAGGCCAGTTCCTGGACGTCCCAGGTGTCGTGTGTGTGAAGGCGGTTTACTCGGAGTCAGGTAGAGGCCAGTTCCTGGACGTCCCAGGTGTCGTGTGTGTGAAGGCGGTTTACTCGGAGTCAGGTAGAGGCCAGTTCCCGGACGTCCCAGGTGTCGTGTGTGTGAAGGCGGTTTACTCGGAGTCAGGTAGAGGCCAGTTCCGGGACGTCCCAGATGTCGTGTGTGTGAAGAAGGTTTACTCGGAGTCAGGTAGAGGCCAGTTCCCGGACGTCCCAGATGTCGTGTGTGTGAAGGCGGTTTACTCGGAGTCAGGCAGAGGCCAGTTCCGGGACTGGAAGTAGTTCCTGAGGCCGTCCAGGCTGACGGGGGGGAAGTAAGGTCCGATTCGCTTCCTGATCCACCATTTCCCCTGAGCGGCGCTGATACTGCCGGGACGTGTGAATTTATAGCGAAAATGCTCTCCTCGAACCCACCTGAAAAGACAAAGCATTTGGAAATGCATGTTTTAGCTCATTAAATTCAGAATCTATAGAATCAAGAGAACAAACACTCCATCAGAGACTATAACTCGTTTTATAAAAAGTGGAATCCTGTCCTTTCCTTTGTTGAGACTGAGACAATATATATTTATAATAATAATGACAAAATAAAAAATATTATTACTATTATGCTATATTTAAAGCTGCAGTCCGTAACTTTTTTTGGGTTAAAAATTATCCAAAATACATTTTTGAGAAAATACATAACCAGCCAGTGTTCAACACTCTCTGCTTGCCGTAGCTCGATTCAAAACGGTAAGCTTGTAATAATGTTTTTAATTTCAGTGGGACTGGTGGATTTCAGCGGGAGATTCGAGCATGTCTTTGCGTCATTACGTCACATCTGTACACACACATCTGCACACACACATCTGTACACACACACATCTGCACACACACATCTGTACACACACATCTGCACACTAGTGTTGCACGGTGCACCGATACTTCAAAAGTATCGCGATACTCGGAAATTAAAAACTTCACGATACCTAAATGTATTAGTATCGATACTTCTAAGAATGACCGCGTTCCAGATTTGTAAGAGAGTATTGCATGTTGGTGTGTGCAACGCACGCTTCCAGTGCCTCCCTATGGACGTCTGTGTTTTTCTCCTCATGCGCGTGTGACAGGGCGCGTGAACTGAACGAGCAGAGAGAGAGAGAGAGAGAGAGAGAGAGAGAGCGAGAGAGCCCCGGTCGCGCGCGCGCACTCTCTCTCTGCGTAGCCAAGCGAAAGTATAAACAAGGCTTCACCGTCTCTAAACTAAGCGCTGTCTTGCTCTCTCTCTCTCTCTCCCTCGCACATATTAATCAAATTAATTAAAAAAATGTTTTCCTGAATTACCGCTAGGAGTAAATTGTGGTAAAATACGTTGCCTTATCTTCTCTGAAAAGCGTTCCGCACATTCAGCTGACATAAACCAAACTTTAAATAAACGAAAAAAACTATCCAGTCATGAAATGTTTTCTGTGATGACACAAATCTTGTGGGATGTCCTAACCGCCGGGATAATCACACAACGCGCACACGTCCGATAATGACACATCCAATTCGCGAACTAATGACTCATTTGAACCGATTCGTTTTAATGAATGGTTAAAACAACTGATCTGTCTGAATCGGTGTATAACTAATCGCTAACACTTTGTAATAAGGTTTCATAAATTACATAAAAAGTAGGCTACAGTTTGCACCCCCCCCCCCCCGACTACTTTTTTCCACACAGTGCTATCAGGAATCGATAAGAGAATCGTTAAAGAATCGGATCGATAAGCAGAATCGTCAGTGGCATTGATATTGATAAAATCTTATGTTTCTTATGATAACTGAGATAATGCTGCTATATTTATTTATTTTTTTACCTTGAATGTCATTGCTCTAATTAATTTTTTATATTTTTCATATTTCATATTTTGTTCAAATGGTTAATATAGCCTATATGCTGTTCATATGTTCATTTATTAGTGTGTTATATGATTAGAATGTTGTCCCAGTTTTAAAATAAAGCACAGCAATGATATTTGAGTGTTTCTCCCTTTTCAGGAAAAGTATCGAAAAAGTATCGAAATCGCAATTCTTGACTTGGTATTGGTATCGAAACAATAATTTTGGTATCGTGACAACACTACTGCACACACACACATCTGCACACACACACATCTTCACACACACATCTGCACGCACACACATCTGTACGCGCACATCTGCACACGCACATCTGCACACGCACATCTGCACACGCACATCTGCACACACATCTGCACACGCACATCTGCACACGCACATCTGCACACGCACATCTGCACACACACATCTGTACACACACATCTGCACACACACACATCTGCACACACACACATCTGCACACACACATCTGCACACACACATCTGCACACACACACATCTGCACACACACACATCTGCACACACACATCTGTACACACACACATCTGCACACACACATCTGTACACACACATCTGCACACACACACATCTGCACACACACACATCTGCACACACACATCTGCACGCACACACATCTGTACGCGCACATCTGCACACGCACATCTGCACACGCACATCTGCACACGCACATCTGCACACGCACATCTGCACACGCACATCTGTACACACACACATCTGCACACGCACATCTGCACACGCACATCTGTACACACACATCTGCACACGCATATCTGCACACGCACATCTGTACACACACATCTGCACACACACATCTGTACACGCACATCTGCACACGCACATCTGTACACACTCAAATCTGCACACGCACATCTGTACACACACATCTGCACACACACATCTGCACACGCATATCTGCACACGCACATCTGTACACACTCATATCTGCACACGCACATCTGTACACACACATCTGCACACACACATCTGTACACGCACATCTGCACACGCACATCTACACACGCACATCTGTACACACTCATATCTGCACACGCACATCTGTACACGCACATCTGTACGCGCACATCTGCACACGCACATCTGCACACGCACATCTGCACACACATCTGCACACGCACATCTGCACACGCACATCTGCACACACACACATCTGCACACGCACATCTGCACACGCACATCTGCACACGCACATCTGCACACACACATATCTGCACACACACATCTGTACACACACATCTGCACACACACACATCTGCACACACACACACATCTGCACACACACATCTGCACACACACACATCTGCACACACACACATCTGCACACACACATCTGTACACACACACATCTGCACACACACATCTGTACACACACATCTGCACACACACACATCTGCACACACACACACATCTGCACACACACATCTGTACACGCACATCTGCACACGCACATCTGCACACGCACATCTGTACACACACATCTGCACACGCACATCTGCACACGCACATCTGTACACACACATCTGCACACGCATATCTGCACACGCACATCTGCACACGCACATCTGCACACGCACATCTGCACACACACACATCTGCACACGCACATCTGCACACGCACATCTGTACACACACATCTGCACACGCATATCTGCACACGCACATCTGCACACGCACATCTGCACACGCACATCTGCACACACACATCTGTACACACTCATATCTGCACACGCACATCTGTACACACACATCTGCACACACACATCTGCACACGCACATCTGCACACACACATCTGCACACGCACATCTGCACACGCACATCTGTACACACTCAAATCTGTACACGCACATCTGCACACGCACATCTACACACGCACATCTGTACACACTCATATCTGCACACGCACATCTGTACACACACATCTGCACACGCACATCTGCACACACACATCTGCACACGCACATCTGTACACACTCATATCTGTACACGCACATCTGTACACGCACATCTGCACACGCACATCTGTACATACTCATATCTGCACACGCACATCTGCACACACACATCTGTACATGCACATCTGCACACACACATCTGTACACACACATCTGTACACACATCTGTACACGCACATCTGCACACACATCTGTACACGCACATCTGCACACGCACATCTGCACACGCACATCTGCACACACATCTGTACACGCACATCTGCACACGCACATCTGCACACGCACATCTGTACACACACATCTGCACACACATCTGTACACGCACATCTGCACACGCACATCTGCACACGCACATCTGCACACGCACATCTGCACACACATCTGTACACGCACATCTGTACACGCACATCTGTACACACACATCTGCACACACACATCTGTACACGCACATCTGCACACGCACATCTGCACACTCTGCACACGCACATCTGCACACGCACATCTGCACATCTGCACACGCACATCTGCACACGCACACCTGCACACACACATCTGCACACACACATCTGCACACACACATCTGCACACACATCTGCACACGCACATCTGCACACGCACACCTGCACACGCACACCTGCACACACACATCTGCACACACACATCTGCACACACACATCTGCACACACATCTGCACACACACATCTGCACACGCACATCTGCACACGCACATCTGCACACGCACATCTGCACACGCACATCTGCACACTCACATCTGTACACGAACATCTGCACACACACATCTGCACACACACATCTGTACACACACATCTGTACACACACATCTGCACACTCATATCTGCACACGCACATCTGTACACGAACATCTGCACACACACATCTGCACACGCACATCTGTACACGCACATCTGCACACACACATCTGTACACACACATCTGCACACGCACATCTGCACACACACATCTGCACACGCACATCTGTACACGCACATCTGCACACGCACATCTGCACACGCACATCTGCACACGCACATCTGCACACGCACATCTGTACACACACATCTGCACACGCACATCTGCACACGCACATCTGCACACGCACATCTGCACACGCACATCTGCACACGCACATCTGCACACACACATCTGCACACACACATCTGCACACGCACATCTGCACACACACATCTGCACACACACATCTGCACACACACATCTGCACACGCACATCTGCACACACACATCTGCACACGCACATCTGCACACGCACATCTGCACACGCACATCTGCACACAC